CTAAAAGTACAAATACAAAAATGTTGAAATACAGTAAGTACAAGTCTTGCATTTAAAACACATACTTAAAAGTATTATTGTTTAAATGTACTTCATTAAAAGTAAAAACATACTACTAATTTAGCAAAATATAATAATGGTTTTTAGCGTCTGACTGGAACCACTTTTGGCAAGGGACTCAGCGTCACCGTCTGATCAATGTTTGTTGAGTAACCACGTTGTGGTTTTTGGCATCAGTAAAGAACCACTTTTGGTAAGGGACTCGGAACAATGTTTGCTTGGATGGGCTTTTGGTTGCTTGCTTTCACTAAGGTTTCCTGTGAAAATTACTTTCGAATGTGACACAAAAATAAATTTGCCTCACTGTGTCTTTACTTGCTCAGGCTGACCCAGGGTCAGAGTAATGGCAGATGATTGTTGGGTAACAGTTGCTGGATGTCTAGTCATGGCTTTTTCTGGAATGGTTGTAGTTTTGTGAAGATTTGTTGTTGGTGGAAGAGTTGTAGTACTGGTTGTTGTGGTAACATGGCCAGTTGTAGTTGTGGGAAGGGCAGATGTTCTACTGCCAGATGTGGTAGTAAGAGGAGCAGATGTAGTTGTAAAAGGGCTGGATGTGGTACTGGGAGGGCCAGAGGTGAAAGTGGCAGATGGAAGAAGTCTACACAGTGGGCCAGATGTGGAACTGGGAAAGGCAGATGTGACAGTAAGAGAAGAAGATGTGGTAGAAGGAAGGTTAGATGAGGTAGAAAATGGGCCAGATGTGGTAGGTTTGGTAGAAGTGGGTTCCTCAGATGTGATAGCTGGTTGAGTCAAAGCTGTGGCTGTTACATCAACCCTCTCAGAGTTTGTTATTTGGGGCATTGCAGTTGCAGTAACTCAGCAATCTGACTCAGCTCAGTTCAATATTTTCTGAGTTTGGTTGTTGGCAAGTCAAAAAATGAGGTTGAGGGAGTTCCTATAACAAATGCTGTAATAAACCTTTTGAAGGTTGCATTTATTTTGACTTCCAGATGTGTTCCTACCTTTATCCCACTTTCAGTAGGCCATATTTAGAGACATTATATGCACAAGGGCATTCAAAGAAAAAACTTAATCCATGTAGAGAGCCCAGTTCTTTCCATTTCATGGTTTGTCCATTCTATTCATCATAAATATTTTTCTATCTCAATTCATCTGGTTTGTTGGGCTGTTTTGAGAAGTAAAAGCAGTATCTGCCTACATGTGTCAGTCCCGTCCTTCTTGCCCAGTGCATGTTGGGATTTACTCCAGTTCTGCCATGACACTCAATGGGATGGGCAGTAAGGAAAATATAAGGAAAACGGTTCTTGTGGCACAATTACTTAAACCTCTAACTCGTCTATCTATTGACCAGGTATCCTAAATCCCAAGCAGATTGTCAGAAATGCTACACCATAAGCACGGATGCTGTAATTTTTATGTTATTCTCATGTAGCTGTCAGGCTGTCTGGCTGTACACCTGAATGAGAGTGTGAATGGTTGTCTACATGGGTCAGCCCTGTGATAAAGTGTTTTCTAGTCCTGTGTTTACCTCGCCTCTTGCCCAATACATGCTGGAATTGGCTCAGGATCCAGTAAAGAGGTGTGCTGTGCAAAGGTATAGACAAAGACAGCAAAGAAAAGAAGACTCTGATTAAAGGAACTATACAACCTCTGATGGAATGATGTCATGGCGTAGCAACACATTTTTCTGAGTTCTCACATCACCGTCTCTAAATTCAGAATCACTTTCAAATGGGAGTGTGTTGCACCACCTAGTGGAATTTTTTTTTATCTAATCCTTAAGCAGTTAAAAGTACAAATACAAGGGCATTCAGGGTAAAAGATGTTCACAATGTACATTATGTTATGTATGAATATGGAAAAACTCAATAAACATAATGTTAAAAGAAATACATGCAAATAGAAATCACAAACACAACATAAATTATTATTCAAGGCAGAGTATTGTTAAACATATCTGGAGATTAGGGGGATTTTTTTTAATATTTCAACATTGTATTTGTGTCTTGCGTCTTATATGGTGAAATGAAAATCTCTAACAAGGAATAAAGAATTGTATATTGTATGTGAAAGGTTTGCCATGAAATGCCTTTCTTTTCTTGTACCATAAATAACCCTTAAACCTGTAAAATCTATCAAATGTTTATCAAGTTCAGTTAAATGAGCTTCACAGATGCACTCACACATGAAAGTCTTTATATTGTTTTAATGAAATGTATATGAACAGAAGCAGGCACAAGATAGTATTGTTAAAACAGTTCATTATATGTGATTGAACATCTGATAAATGTAAAGACCAAAAGAGACAAATTAACAAAGAACTGCACATAAACACTGTTAGAGCAGGAAAGAATGACAGTTCATGATGTGAAGTCTCTTCACTTCTATAAAATGCTCAACAAAGATGTTCGACCAGATGTTTATTAAAGCTCTAAAAAAAAAAAAGAATGAGAATGAGAATGAGACATTTTGGGTCATCCAGTGGAGCTCTATGGACTGTTTTTCAGTCTGGTGCACCTTGGTCATCTTATAATTTCACTGGTTTTAAACAGTGCTTACGTACAGTTTTTCTCATTATTATTTAAAAAAAAAAAGCTTATGCAAGTTTATTTGCATACCAACAGAAGCAATTCAAAATACTGTGTATAAGGCAAAGAAATGCATTAGAACATCATTTAAAAACTAGATGTACAGTTTATCAAAGCAGAATAAATTGAAACGTTAATTTCCACTATCTGAAGCTATACTTGTTGTTACTCTGGTATTGGTATAACAATTGGTAGTAGGCAAAGACTTTCTGGTAATGGTGTGTGTGGTTAATCATCTCTACCAGGGTAATAATCCTCCAAGAACAATCAACAATACAATTTGAAGACCAGCGTGTACGATTTAGTGGCATCTAGTGATGTTGCAGATTGCAACTGAACACCGCTGGCGTCTCTTTTTCACAACCTGCGAATGAGAACGGGCTGGCGAGTGTGTAGGAGAAACTACGGTGGCTGCAAAATGCGTAAAAAAACTTCTGGGCTACTGAAAAATGCCGGTCCAACATGACAGACTCTATGGCAGTCGACCTGTGGTGTCAAAACAGCTCATTTTAATTGAATGAAAATGCAATAATACTTATTTTCAGGTGATTATAGATGAATGAAAACATACTTGGGTTTAATATGTGTTGAAGGTTTTCATTAGCTTTATATTATATGGTTTTATTGAGTTATTATTGCATGGTTTTATTGATGTTGTTGGATTGGATCAAGGTGAATAGCAGCTGATTAACTGGACTACACCACCACGACCACCAAGGAAGCCAAGGTGGTCATAATGTTAAATGTTAATGTTATTTTAAATTTGCTTGTGTGTGTGTTTGCTTGGTAAATGTGGGCCCACTGAGTTTGGTGTGAATATAATCTAACCTTTAGTTATATTGTCTGTGTTGCAGTCAGTGGGAAATGTTATTTCATTGCTGTAACTCTCAAGTCGTGATAAAAAAAGAACAAAAGTGTAATTTAATTTAAAAGGAGAGTAAATATTATTTCATTTTGTTTATTTTGAACTTTTAGAAAGTAAATAATAGAAATGTATTATTTCTAAAAAATGATTCCAGTGTGATGCCTTCTTTCTTTCTCTTTTTCTTTTGCTAAAGGTATTTAAGAATAAGATATTAATACTGATGATACATAGTTTAATTGTACATGCTAAATGTCAAATTACAGTGTTGTTGTTAAAAAAGTTAACAAAGCCTAGTAAAAGTGTTAAAGTTCATTAGAGGTGAATTAATTGAAGAAAACTGATTCAAAGAACTCAGGGCCCCTCCCTGACTAAAACAGGGATAGATAGGTTACATCTGGACTGCGGACATGTCTTTTTAAAGGACAGTCATTGTTTAGTTTTAAACTTTTGATATTGTGTTGTACCGATTACATTGTTTAAACATCTTTAGTCCTCAGTGACCTTTCATTTTTTGACGGGGGAAGTACTTGTGGTTTTGGAAAAATCCGAAAAATTTTGAAAATCCCGCCCTTGTATTGTCTGCATTTAATTATACTCCTTCTAGTTGTACTAAACTTGTCCGGGGTCAGTGTAATGGCAGATGATTGTTGGGTA